TTTTATATCAAGACCTGATTTCGGGGGCATTGGATGCAGTACCCGAGTCGCCAGATTGGAAAAAAGAAAAGCTTCCTTGAAACTGTAATAACTCGTAACCTAGCAGCTTTCACAAAAAAAATGTATATAACAAAAATGGTTATACTGGTCGATATCTTTACGAAAGTGCAATATTTAACCCTTCAATCTGTCATATATGAAACGCTTTCAAGGCAGAGGCAAAATGGTTCTCAATATGCTTTCAACGTGCTTTTTCTCATGTTGTTCAGGAGTGCGAATTTTGGATAATTCTCTTAGATTTCAAATAATTCCTTTACTTTTTAAGAGCTATAGTCCTATGCTATTATCTATCGTAAAAATTCCGTATGAATCATAGATACCTACATATATGTGTATAGTAGGCATCGATGGTCTTCTGCAATAACGACACAACTCAAAATTCCAAAAACAAAAGTCTTACTCATGTCTCTAATCCATGTCCAATCCTTACTAAAGCAAGTAATAAAGATTACTTAAGTAAGTGGTAAGGATTAGACGTGAATTGGACAAGGATTAGAGCCATGGGCCACTTAACAGTAGTAGGTAAGGGTTTTTGCTTCTAGAATTTTGAATTGTGTTGTTATGCAGAGGACCATCGATATGCACGTATTTATGTATACAATATACATATATATATCCGTCAACTCCTAATAAATTCTCTGCAGTTAAATTTAAATAAAATTTGTTGTTCTCAAGGCAGAGTTGGGAAAATGGATTTTTTTCTAATGCATACGCATTTTAATGTTAATTTTCCAAATTTAATGCAAATAAAAATTTTAATGCATTAACTTTAAAAATTTAATAAAATTTAACTGGTTGGTATGAAGAAAAAAATATTAATTACTCCATTACTCTGTTCATACTAAACAAAATGTACAAGTACAAATAAATTTAATGCTTACCTTTTACAATTCAAACTCCAGTATGAATGGTAAATGTTCGACTTCTAAAGGCAAGAACAACAACACTAATAAAGGTGGTCACCCATGCAAAAAATCAAAAAAAAAAAAGTATGAATGCAGGAAGAAAAAGACTGAATGTTCACAATCGACTCTTTATAGACGCGCTAACGAAATTATAAGTCGTTATAAAATTGATGAAATAGAACTAGACGTCAAGTTGATTAGGAAAAAATATTATCAGAATGATCTTGTTGAAAATGAAAATTCAGATAAGCAGATATATCATGATGATATATTATTAATTAAAATTTTGAAGTATTTATTGCTCAATAGAAAATTTTATGTTTGTAGTTTGAAGACTTTTATTTTAATGATTTTAACAACTTTTCATTTAGAAATTCTAATAAAATCTAAGAACAACACAAAAAATGAAAATTGTACAGGTATAAAAGAACAAGGTATTTATACCCTACATTTACTCTCCCCCTCCACAAAACGATAAGTTAAAATAAATAAAAATATAGAAATAATTATCTAAAAATTTAAATAAATGTTAGTAATTACTAAAAAATTTGTTTGATTATGACAACGACGACAAAAATAATTAAATGCGCTAGAATATTGTTGTTATTGCTGAGATATGGTTCTGCTGCATCAGCTGTTTTGACCTTGCTGTTGATTCTGTTGTTGATGCTGTAAATGTTGCTGCGTTTGTAACGTATTCAGTGGTTATTGTTGATTAGGGGCCTAGAACCCATTCTATGTGAAGCGACACAATAGTGACTAACATTTGTGGTGTTGAACTGTTGGCTATGGTCATAGACGTTGAGGCTTGACGGAGAAATGAACGGCTGCTGTTGTGGTAGCAGTGCCGGTAAATGAGCAGGGGGCTAATGCTTGGTTGCTTACTGTTGTGGTTGTGGTTGTGCAGATTCAGGAAGATGTGATATGGCAGGTTGTGGAAAATCGTCCATGGGGAGCGATTGATTAACTACACAAGTGACTTTTTTCACAGACTTGCCTTTGTTCATGTATTCCCGGTTATATTGAAGGATATAAGAATTGCGTTTGAATAAGTTCTTGCTGCTTACAGTTGTGGCAGTTGCACTGGCAAAATTTTCACACTATTGGAGCGGAATAGACAACAGCGGATGCACATCGAGCCAGCGCTGAAACATTTCGAAAAAGATTTGTTGCTTCATTGATCTTGCGCTTTTCGTTGATAGATATTTGAAGTTCGTCGTTGTATTATTAGTCCAAGTTTTATGCAGGATCGCCAATATATCATGATGAAATATTATTATTTAAAATTTTGAAGTATTTATTGCTTAATAGAAAATTTTATGTTTGTAGTTTGAAGACTTTTATTTTAATGATTTTAAAAACTTTTCATTTAGAAATTCCAATAAAATATAAGAAGGATCGCCAATATATCATATTATGATATCAAATTTAAAAATAGTATTTCTTTCTTGATTGATTTTGTTGAAAGCTAATTTATTAATAATCATAACTTTTCATTTCTAAAAACAAACAAATCCATAGAACAATAAATTTAACTTCAAGAATTTAAGCAAGTGTAAAAACATACAGTTTAATTACCCTACAGCAGATAAGAGTGCATTCTACTGAATCAGCATTAGCATTTTATCTAAATCATAGTTATAGTAAAGATAGTTATAATGCTTTGGTGAAAGATACCCGATCAAAAAATTGCCCCATTTATCCGTCTTATTTTGAAAGAAACTAAGTAAAGGATGAATGCAGAATTTCCAAATTTGTGGTTCAAATAGAGGCAGAGGTAGCAGCATCAATGCAATTAATATTAAACAAAACTGTCGAAAGGTTGTGTGAGTCAGTAGCATTGGACTGGAAAAAATAGGATTTATGGGATCTGGAATTAATGGAGACGATAGGATTTAACAGCTCTTCCGGTCATTCTAATGCCCAGCAAAAGTATCAGAACAGTGAAAATCGTAACATCAGCACTCAGCAATCGCTTTTTGTGACCAGCATGGGCATAATACGTTTTCAAGGGCAAAAATCAGACCAAAGCCGGTGGATTAATCCGAAGCCACAAAGTGTTAGGTTTTTTCGCCCCTTAAGGATTGCTCTCGAAAAAGAGGACGAAGTCACAATAAAACATGAGCATGAGCGACTGAGTAAAGAAATCTTAAGACACACAGGTTCACGTTATCCAATTTAAAAATGGCCTATGTCAAGTCTAATGCAAACACTATTTGACGGTAAATGTGTAAATAGCATAGTCGGCAATAATGCGAGTTCTAGATGTCCGATGTGTTTATGAACTTCACACGAATTCGCGAATTTGAATGATGATTTCGAACCCAAAAAATCTTCTTTAAAGTATGGATTGGGTTTGTTACGCTGCAGAATTAAATGTTTTGAGCATTTACTTCACTTGCCATACAGAAAGGATCTCAAAAGAAGGGATATACGCCAAAATCTAAAAGGTAAAAGTATATATCGTAACTTTAAAGAGCTTGTTTTTTCATTTGACCATAAAATATGGAATGAGATATACAAAATATATCAAGGGTTATCACATTCTTATACATTGCCATATTTCAGCGCATTTGTAAACGGTTACTGTGGGAGTAATGCACCAAAATTGGACTTATACAAAACCGTTATTATTCTAGTTTAATTTAATAATTTATTATATATAAATTTCGTTGGGATTTTATAAAATATCGTTTAAGTTTAAATTTCACTTTTAGAACAATTTAATAATCGGAAAGCAGAGGTTCAACAGCGTATTTGTGATCGTGTTGGAGTCAGGGTTGATCGTCTTCCAGGGGCACGGAACTACAAATACTGGTAACGTTGGAAGACGTTATTTTCAAAATCACTGCAGTTTTGTCGAAGCATTAGAAATAGATCTAGAATTCGTTAGAGACATAGTTGCGATTTTAACTGCATTTAAGTGCAAAAAGGCGTTGAAATTGGATGAATTAGAAGAGTTTTGCTGGCAAACGTATTGTAATTACTATAACGTTTTCCCGTGGGCAGGGATAAGCCCTACATTTCAAAAACTACTAAAACATGGTTGCGGAATTGCCAGAAACTAGGAAAGAAATAAATCACGCGGTGGAAATAGATCGATTCTAAGAAGAGAGGTAAACTATTTTGTAACATCTTTTTTTTATATCTTTAACAATATAACCATATTTTAATTTATGCAAACTGTTGGCATAACGTTTACTAACTCATAATAAATTATTTTGCAGCAAAAGTCACGACAGCCAGAACGAATCAACGGCTGATGTACAAAGTGATAGCGATTGATAAAAACTGCAATTAAAAATAATATCAATGTACATACCTATATGTATGTATAAACATCCCGCATACAATTATTAATGAGTTAAATAAAAAATTAAATCCGCATAAAGCTAGAGAAATTAATTTCTGAACACAAAAGGGCAAAGATAAAAAACAATGGGCCGTATGCATAACACCTAAGCAAATGCTTTTTCTTAAAATTTCAGACCTTTTATTCAATTTGTTCAAATAAACTTAAGTGAAAGGTATGAAGTTAAAAAAAAAGAAATTGCTTAGTTTCTATGAATACGGCCCTATATTTTCGTTTACGTTAGTATTAACCCTTTAACGGTCTCAGTGATCTAGAAGATTTAAATAAAGTTTGCATATGGTTATCGGATATTATTTTATGCATACATAAATGGAAAAAATTAAAAAGACTTAATTGAAGAAATTATTATTATTTTTTATTATTATTTTACTATGGAAAAATTTTCTACGATTACTATTTACATCAACATGAGAAAAAGCACGTTCAAGTATATTAAATTGCTTGCAAACGTCAATAATTTGAAAAATTCCTCTCAGCGGTTCTACGTTCCTATTTTTTATCATGAGTAAAACCATTTTTGTTATATAAATTTTTTTATGAAAGCTGAGAGTTTACGAGTTATTAGAGTTTAAAGGAAGCTTTCCTTTTTTCCAATCTGGCGACTCGGGTACAACATCCAAAGCCCCTTGAAAAATCTTCACTAATTTGTGGCGAAAGCCTTTTTAGTTTCTAAACCCTGATGGTTTTTGTACGGGAGCGCGAAGAATATTAATTCACGGACTAGGTTGTTTATACTTATGAGCACGTACTTATCTAAGTAGTTGCCTGCAAAGCGTATTAAATTACTATTGAGCACGACCGGTCACTTCTATTGTAACAATTCAAATGTTTATTTGACATTCAATTTCAGTTTCTTAACCCATGCAATCACTAACTAGCGGCTCTCTATATATTTATTAGCCAGCGGCTTATATTCAGGAGAAGAGGAGAACGAAAGAACAGTAATATGTAGGTAAATAGGTAAGTATGAAGGGGTAAGTATATAGCGAAAATATAAGTACGCAAGGTAAGTATACAAGTGTAAAGGGTAAGTAAATGAACGAGAAGGGAGGTAAGTGAACGAAGGAACAGAAAGGTAAATTTGTATATACATTAATGCATGTAGATTTAAGTATGCATATTCATGTCATTATGACAATTAAAAAAATTTGAACAATGTATGCGTACTTCAAAATTTCATTTGTTATTATACTCATAAATTCAAATGCCTGCTCATCTGCTTCAACACCGGCCACCTTGAAGGGACCTAATCTCCTTCAATCTTCGTTTATTGGTAAAACAGCTAGTTTATGAATGGGGCGTCGTATAATCCCAGACTTAGTTGCGATGTCGGCGACGCGCACCTTGGCGTCTGCGCCGCGTATTGTTGCCATGATTCGGCCCAACACCCACTGCTGCGGTGGCAGGTTGTCCTCGTGGTCGACGGCAAGTTGGCTTGGCTCGACGTTGGGCTGCAGTTTCGCCCACTTGTTGCGCTGCTGGAGCTCCATAAGGTAGTTCTTCGACCACGCGCGCCAATATTGTTGCTTGAGAAAGCAAACAAGCTGCTATCTCTCTAAGCAGCGGTTGGGGCTGTCGGGCACTTTCTCCGGAGGCAAGGCTCGCAGCTGGCATCCGATATATAAGTGCGCCGGCGTTAGCGCCTCGCCATCGTTGGGGCTGCTGCTGAGCGGTGCGAGCGGTCGCGAATTGAGCACTGCCCCGATTTCGACGAGCAGGGTTGCGGCTTCTTCGCCGGTTAGCAGCGCGTTGCCTGCGGCGCGCACCAGTAAGTGTTTCGCTGATTTCACTGCTGCCTCCCACAGCCCGCCGAAGTGGGGCGCCCTCGGAGGTATGAAGGCGAACGTGAACCCTTCGTCGGCGGCGAACTGGAGAATCTCCGGCTTCTGCTTCAGAAAGGCCTCCCGCAGCTCCCTCAGCTTCCTCTCCGCTCCGACGAAGTTCGTCGCGTTGTCCCAATGTATCGTGGCTGGTATCCCCCGGCGTCCAATGAACCTTTTTAGGGCGAGAATAAATTTATCAGCAGTTAAGTCGGATACAAGTTCTAAGTGTACTGCATTTGAAGCGAAACAAACGAAAATGGCAATGTACATTTTCACGGGGGGTCGACCGCGAATTTTCAACGTAATATGAATGGGCCCGCAATAATCTACACCGCATATCATAAATGGTCGTTGGGCTCGTAGCCTATCGGCGGGTAGATTGCCCATGATCTGACTTTGCAGTTTCGGCTTATAATGGAAACAGTGAATGCAATCTCTAACAGTTCGACTACAGGTTTCTCGTGCATTTACTAACGATATTTTTTCTCGTAGAAGCGCTACCAATGCTTTGGGCCCGGCATGGTGATTGCGAACATGTAGGAACCGGAGATATGCTTTCACAAAGTGCGAACCTTTGGTTAATAGCAGAGGAAATTTGGCATCATAGGGAATGGGCGCGTTCAGTAAACGGCCACCTACTCGAATCAGTTTAAACGATAACGCTGATTGAGATTATTCATGCAGAAAGGGAGATAAATTCTGCAAGCTAGAAGGAAGTGCGATACTTTTCGATAATTTGTTAATTTCTTCGCTATATTCATAATGTTGAGCTATTTCGACAATTTTAAGGAAACTAAGCTGTAATTCCTTTGCTGTGGGTACAACTTCAAATTCTAACTTTCGATCTCTAGTTTTTCGAGGCCATCTTAGTACGTAAGCGAATATTCGAAGCACTTTCACGTGGGATGAGAATCTTTCAATTAAATCGAGAAGTGGATTTGTTGTGGCCTCAATTGCACTTAACGTAATTGCGTTCTTTTTCTTTTCAAGTGCTTGCTGCTCTGGAGAGAGGTTAAAATTGACATTTTGTGGCCATAAAGCAGGGTCTTCTAGGAGAAGTCCAGCTGCTCCTCCCACTTTGACCGAGTAGTGGTATCAACCTTCGACATGACTATGTGAACTAACATCGCATTTGAAATATGTTTGTCATCACCCAGAGACAAAAGCGAGTCATACACCGCGGACACTGTGTCGATTATCGATCGCAAAGATGAAGCAGAAGGTTTTTGAATTTTAGTAAGATTCTAGAAACTGTATTGAAAAATATAAGACATTTATTGTCATATACTCTGTTCAAACTGGCCAACGCCTTTGGGTAGTTCTCTTCCGACATTTGGAAGGACTTCACTAAATGATTAAATTTTTCGATATCCGGGATCGTAGGATCGTTGTGCACTAAACTCTCAAACAAGCTCATGAAATTCTTAAATTCAGAATATTCCCCTTTAAATTTGGTCAGCGACATCTTAGGGAGTCGCGAGCTGTGAGGTGCAATAAATGACGATTCGGCAACAGCAGATTTATTTTTTGCGAGAATGGACTTAATCATGGACTCATCAATTTCTTCTATTCTTGATTGACACGTCATTAGCTTTTCGCTGTGTGAATTTAAAATTTCAAGTCGATAATCTAATTCGATTCGATCTAACGACATGGTTTTTTCGATAAGGCCCGTTCTTATACGTACTATGTTTCTTTTCAGAACTGACCGTTGCTTTTTTAACACCTTCAATTCTTCTACTTGGCTCATTTTTAAATCGAGTTCCGATGTCTTGGTTGCGAACAGAAGTATAACCTTTTGCCTTTATGCACAGTAATTTTGTGCTCGGAAAATAGTTCTGGAACTTTTTTAGGAAACTAAACCGAAAAAGGATTTTTTTATGAAATTTGACCAGAACCAACGAAAAACGAGATCGAAAGCGAATTGCCGAACACCAAGAAATTGCAACGGTTGTATAATTTTTCACTTTGCAGTAGCAAATTGGCGAAAATTAAATTTGCGAAAAATATCGTATGTATTACGATAGACTCCTAAGCCTATAAATCACACTTGGAATTTTTTGAAATTTTACGAAACTATACAAATCGAAAATAGTACTCGCAAAATTATTCAAACACAAAACGCGCACTTCTACTTCTTGTCCCACTGTATCTTTCACTTCAAAGGCTGTATGTAAATATGTATTTATGTATATACGAGGTATATATTTGCAAGCAATATGTATACCTATATATAATTGGCGCAATTGAAATGGATACAAGAAATGCCAAAAACTGAAGCTTTTATTCTTTGTAAGACGAGTATCAGTAACTTTAATAATCAAATCAATTACAAAGCCAAATATTTCGTATGCTTCAATTGTTCGCACTCAATACCTGTTTATCATGGACCCGTTTGTTTCCAGCCTTCACTTCCCTCTTGCAGACAATACAGTTGCAGTTCATTCCCGCGATGTCCAACGGTGTAGCGGTCAGGTTAAGTCCACAGCAGAAATTCACAACGACAATTAGGCAGCCGTTTCGGAATAAGGTTCCACAGGTGAGTCTATAGGATGCAGGATTCAAGATACGTTGATAGCAGCACTTAAACGGTAAGTATGTCTTTTTCTTTTTTATGTGAAATATATGTATATTTGTATTTTTTATTTTTTTTTAATTGTACTTTATGCATCACGGCCCACTGTCACTGCAGTCTATTTGCACTGCACCGTTTGTATTTGCTTGCTTTCTGTTTATTGTTGGTTTTCAGTATACTTGTTTGTGTGTTTGTTTATGTGTATATAAATTAAGGAAGACGACTTTGTATTGCTACCGACCGCGCAGGCAACTATAAGCTTTGTTCTTTTTTATTTTATTTTTTTTGAGCTCCTAATGCACAACAGCTAGTATTTATTTGCAGAAATTAATACACGTAAATAATAACGCAATCGTTCTGTTTTTATTCACAAGGAGTATTTGTTTCTCTTATTTTCGGCTTAATACAAATTTCGATTAAAAGTACAATTTATGTAGGTTAATTAAAATACTTCGCACTAGGTCCCTGCTCGGGCGCCATGAAAAATCGTTACTAATTTGTGGCGAAAGCCTTTTTAGTTTCTAAACCCTGATGGTTTTTGTACGGGAGCGCGAAGAATATTAATTCACGGACTAGGTTGTTTATACTTATGAGCACGTACTTATCTAAGTAGTTGCCTGCAAAGCGTATTAAATTACTATTGAGAACGACCGGTCACTTCTATTGTAACAATTCAAGTGTTTATTTGACATTCAATTTCAGTTTCTTAACCTATGCAATCACTAACTAGCGGCTCTCTATATACTTATTAGCTAGCGGCTTATATTAAGGAGAAGAGGAGAACGAAAGAACAGTAATATGTAGGTAAATAGGTAAGTATGAAGGGGTAAGTATATAGCGAAAATAGAAGTAGGCAAGAAGTATACAAGTGTAAAGGGTAAGTAAACGAACGAGAAGGAAGGTAAGTGAACGAAGGAACAGAAAGGTAAATTTGTATATACATTAATGCATGTAGATTTAAGTATACATATTCATGTCATTATGACAATTAAAAAAATCTAAACAATGTACGCGTACTTCAAAATTTCATTTGTTATTATAACTACTAAACTCAAATGCCTGCTCATCTGCTTCAACACCCCTAAAATCATGTCCTGAGATAAAATAAAGGGAAAACTTTCAGGAACAATGCTAATGGTGTGTTAAATATAGTGTTTTCTAGTGGAATTGGAGCCAAAATCTAAAATTAAAAAAAGTGACATTTTGACCGGTATTTTGAGGGTTAAGTGTTGTAACTTTTCTATAGTTTTCCTATATTAAATGATCATTTATCTTCACGATAAGAAACAACTAATTCCATTATCTTTTTTCTAACCGAAGATCTATCTTTTTGAAAAAAATAACTCGTGTTTTGCCCATAGTGCGACGTCCCTAACGGCGTCACTCAGAGAAAATAAGGTCCTAGGATCGGGCGAAAAGCCGGAGGTGTCGTCCGAGCAGCCCAGGAAGTAAGTGTTCACAAGGAAGCATTTTGTTACATGATGTCGTCCAGTCGCCGTTAGGGTTCTGGATAGAGTTCATACTTGAAGGGGATTTCGAGAGAACTTTCGCCTTCCAAAACCAATGACGTGTTCGCTTAGCTTGATTGAAGAGCCTCGTGATAGGATACATGCGTTGGTGGGTCCACAGGTCCACTCATGGCGTTTCCTGTGTATCCTGCGCTGCCTGCCGCGGATGCCGACTCGGGGGCCTTAAGTCCGCTCGAGACGTTGCCTGTTTTATTGGCCCCTTCGTCGGAAAGAATTTCTGCAGGAGTGGTTCCGCTAAAGGCGTTTCCCGTCTCCTTCCCTTGATTATCCGCTCTCTGGTGGATTTTTACTGTGAAGGAGTAAAAGCCGTAGCTAATTACCCCCACAATCCTCGAGAACTAGGACAGAAGCATCGTTGATGACATAACCAACAAAACGCTGTTTCCCCTTAGTCTCGCCAGCTCGGACTATCCTAAAATCGCTTGTAGGGAGTCCTTCGTTACCCAATCGGATGAACTAGAGTATCTCCTCCGGTTTTGACGGCTCAGCTGGTACCCAAGCCCAGGCTCGCGGCCCATAACGGATTTCATCCCTATGGACGGCAACTAAGTCTGCCCCGGGCCACATCTGTGCAAGCGTGGAGATAACTTTCTTATAGAGCCGAACTGCGCGGCATCCCGGACGACTGGTGCAGGGCCGCGATACTACTGGAGTATCCGCTTATAGATATACCCTGCATAAACCCATCAGGATGGACTTCCAGTTGTCCGTGGTAATGTGGCCGTCCATATGACCCTTGTCCAACACCGCCAGCGTGAGGTGCTCTTTGGCGACCTCTCTGAACGACTTCGTGGTGGATACGGCCATTGACGG